CCCCTTCCCCTTCTTCTTGCATATATCGAATCTATCAATAACAACATGTAAGAAGCGATCAGAGTTCTTCTTCTTCTTGTTTTTTTTTTCCTCGGTGAATTTACTCCTGTTAATGTTCAATAAATGTCGAGGTGCGCGCATGGTTATTATTCGGTGCAAGATTTCTTGAATTCTCTGAGCTTTCGAATACATAAGAGGACACTTCATTCTATATATATACTGCTTGGTATTGCAAGAATAATCGATCGATCTTCTTTTATTTGGTTAATACTCAACATAGATATTTATATTAAAATTCCGGATGAAACTATATATATAACGAGATATTTCATGTTGTTGGATTTATTAATGTACGCTCTACACGCACGCGTCTTATAACATTATCATATAATATTCTACTAAATGAACACTAATAGAGTCGGATTATACAAGTGTCAGTGCTGATTAATCCCAGAAGTACATGCACCTAAAGAATATAAAATGACGGCTAATTAATTAAGTTATAATGATAATATCTGACGGCCAGGATTAATTTACTTTTTTCCTTGTAGGGGCCACATATATAAAATATGTATATAATACTAGAAAATGTTTTTTTTTTCAGGCCCAGCCCTCATTGACGCCCGTCTCCGGCCCGCGCTGTTCTTGATCAAATCGGTTAAGTTACCTGACGAGGGGGCAAAGTGGGAAGCTTTGACCGGAGAGATTGTTCTTTACTGGGTCTCAGGGGACAGCGTAAACAGTAAGATAGGTATCCTGTATGACATGTCATCCATTATGCTGGTCGGTCAAGCGACTCAAGCCCCAGATTAGATTGGTCTAATCTTTGAAATTAATAACCAACGGCTTAGTTTACCTAATTAAGCTAGTAAAAAACAAAAAGCTGTTCAAAGCTCCACGTTTTACTTGAGGAATTGAATATCTAACGGTCTATTTGGTATATGGTTTTGGTTTTGTACTTGTAGGTTTTGTAGCTATATACTAGTAAGATTTTTAAGAAGATATATTTTTCTATATTAAAATAATATATTAAATTGATTTAAATTAATTTGGATTAACAAGGTAAATTCATGATCCAAGTTATGAGATTATAATAAACTCATAAAAAACAAATCAAAATAAAATATAAGAACTAATTCTCAATCAATTTAATATTAAAAAATGAAATTAAAAAAATAATCAATTAAAAAATAATTTAAAAAAACAACTTGAATTAACCTATCAAACTCATACTATAGATCATAAGATCATGATAACTTCACAAAAATTAAATTGAAATAAATTATAAATTTAAATCTCAAATAAATCCAATATTAAAGGATGAGATTTTTAAAAAAAAATTAAAAACCACCCAAGTCAATCAGCCAAACTCATGTCCCAAGTCATCAGATCGAGAAATCTCATTGAAAGAAAAAAACTGACTTAATTTATTTAATCCGAGTTAATCGGTCAAATCTATGATTTTGTTGGTTGTGATCGAGATAACCCCATAGAGCATAAATCTAAATAAATTATAAAATTTAATTTTTAATTACTCCTATCGGATCCAATATTGAATGATAAAATTTATAAAAAGTTTAATAAAAAAATAACATAAAAATAATCTAAGTCAATCCAGATTATCCCATTAAACACTATTCTCACGCCATTAGGTTGAAATAATCTAATATAAAATAAATTAAAATAAATTATAAAGTTTAATGCCTAATAAGAAAATAATATTAAATGATGAAATTGAAAGAGAAAAAAATTAATTAAAAAAACCAAATTAATTAGATTAACCCGCCAAACCCTCAACTTGAATTATAAGTTAGAGACTATCTAATAAAAAAAAATTAATATTAAAAAATATATGATTTAGATCATGAAACTGAAATAACTTTTAAAAAAAATAAAAAAAATAACCTTAATGGTTAGAATCTTTTTAAAATTGATAATTTTTCCTATAAAGAAATCATAGCTATTAATTTCACAAATTCTAGTCTGGATTCATTAATATAATATATCATGTTACCTATTAGAGCATACAGATTCAACAAAAACAATCACAACCATAAAATATCTATAATCTATTTCAAAAATGGATATTTTGGAATTGTCAGGGAAAAAATATGGAGCACCATGCCTATCAAGACACATCTTTAATTTATTTATTTTTTCATTTTTATGCTTATTTCAACGAATAACAAGCATACACTCAACTTTATTTTTGACACCAGCCATAAGTTTTTTTTATAGGTATTTCTATAATAAAACGAGAATGAAAACCTTATTTTGATTGCAATCTAGCCTGATATTTTTCGTACATTATTTATTTATTTATTTACTCCCACTAAATTGATGCCTTTAATTCTTATCTGTATTTTTAAAAAATTTGCTATTTTACCTTGTCCTTTTAGTAGTATTTTATTACAGTAATTTATGATATCGATGAAATTAAAAATAGGAAGGAAGTTGTTACTATTTGATTGAAAATAGGTAGTTAAAAAATTAAATAAGTATGAAAGTGGGGATCATTTTACTTTTGTGATTACACACACATATAAATGTTAGTGAAATGAATTTAATAAAATATATCCGGGTTACGTACACGACAAAAGCCTTTAATTAAGTTGATTTTACGATTTTAATCCGTGTGTTTTTCTTATGGTTTTATGTGCTAGTTCTTCTGGTATTTTAAAATCATAATTAATCAAGTTGATTTTTGGACCAAGATTAACTGTTAATTGTTTTTTAAATTTCGACATTATCCTTTCTGAACTTATTTTTAATTTACAAACAAATATAAGAATTTAGGAATCAATATTAGGGTTTTAAATAAAAAAGAATTGAGTATTTATTTATTATTTCACTAAGAATACATTAACCACACAATAATTTACTTTAAAATTGAAACTAATGGAAGCTTGGTTGCTCGCTAGCTAGCTCTCCACGCATCCCTCCTTCTACAAGCAACTTGATATTAATAAAGCCGCCAATACAGAGTCACCACACCAGATGTTCAAGCACCGAGTTTCAATTTATATATTGATCATGGTAGCCAGAAAAATAAAAAAAATTATAGTAAGCATTTTACTGTTATATAATAATAATAATAATAACAACAACAACACATTGTTTTTTTCTAAAATATTGAACTGGCTTCGGTCAAAGACAAGCTTCATTTAAAATATAGCGTATTTTCCTCTCTTTTCCAATTTCCATCCTCAATTTCAATACGTAATTTTTGGTTGATCCAAAGCCATCTTTTGAGTCAGTATCCACCAGAGGAACTTCAAAGAAGCACCATGGCATGATTCACAGCACACGTTAACTAGTCAAACCTCGGTAATTTGACTGGTCATATGATTGTAAAGTCTTCTCTTTCCTCTGTTTTATTGCTTACGTGAAACAGTGACCGAGTCGCATGATTCATGGGGAGATCTTCATATGTTCTGGTGAGTTGGTTTCGTGTTTCCGGCAGGGAAGGATGGTTGGCCTCTAAAGTCTAAACCACTGATGATAGAGAAAATGGTCTGTATTCAGATGAGATGGCGCAGATTGATAAAGCCACTCTGCCATAAAGGTTATGCATAGTTTCAATATGATGAAGTCAACCCATTTACGGAAGATAAAAACATGATAAAGTTTCAATTAGGATTGCCCAGAGGGATTTATTTTTCAAACATTCACAATTCTCTCTTTACAAAAAATAAAAATATGTGTTTGTATTTATACAAGATAGTACAAATTGCAGACACGGTTACAAAAATGAAAGAATAGAAGAGGCCATGATGATACGAGTGTTTCAGGACCTGTGATTTGGTCTAGCATCGCTGATCCTCCTAAACAACTTCAACAGGCACAAAGAAACCCTTAGCTTCAAGTTCTTAGTCCAGGGAAATATATACATAGGAGATCATCAACTTCGATTAGTAGCCACGCCGAACTGGACAGTAAGACGTGGGAAAGCAGCATCACTAGGCAAACCGTTGCCGGCGTAGTGCATTTCATTTACTTGAGGGCAGCTCGGTCCGTTCCTACCAGGAATGTTGGTGCATCCTGAACCTGCAGAAGGGGGGACAGGACCTCTCTGAAGAGATTGCAATGAAAGGTCTTTATTCAGCTCTTCAGGTAATATCCTACTAGCTTTGTATAGTTGAACATGTGAAGAAAGCAGCAAAAGTACGGCCAAAATAAGGTTTAGGATCCTCATGATTTCTGGATGGCAATTTCAAAACAAGCATGAACAATTTCGTGTAGCGGTGAGGAGTATTTATACTGATAAAGGTTGAAGGGTTCGGTGGTTTTTTTATTTGTTGAAAGATTTCGACTGTTGACTGCTAGGTTTTTTTTTTAAAAAAAAAAACTATCAAGAAATTGAACAGGTCTAAACAAGAAAAGGTGATTTTCTTGAACTTGAATACCAAGTTTTTACGTTTTTCCACCTGCTTACATGCGTAAACATTTGTTTTCTTTTGCTGGATAAGATTTTTCCCGTCAAATTTATCGTGTTGAGTTTTGACCCGTGAGGAAATTTCTTGGAAATGCAGTTGCTCTGACCTTTGAATGCTTGATCACAATGTGCTTGTTTCTATCAATGTTGGCATACGTGGCTTGAAATAAGAAATGTTCAAAGTGAAAACATCGTCTGTGTCATCGAATTAGAGGCCTTTCCTTTATCATCCCATAGGATTAAGTACTCTCTACAAAGGTAACACATTTCATCCTTGCCGTGTTCTTCATGAACATGGTTACAATTTTGTCTGACCCTTACATGCTATGGAGAGACTCCACAATGGTTGCAGGAAAAAAATGCCTGCTCATAAGCAACTGGTAATGGCCTCAAACCCGGATGGAATCAATCTCTACATAACCATAAAAACTTTGATGCGTGCATCCACTTTCAAGAAACCAAACTCAGATCTCAATAATCAGAAGGGACTTAATTCAAGATTGTAGTTTAGACGAGTCTTGATCCACTTTTGTGGTTTCTAATTGGATAATTGATGTGGTTCAAATTTTAGTCAGTAACGATGGGTTGTAACTTATATTCCATCAGAAGCTCATTCAAATATTAATCAAACCCAGAAAACACATCAAAACCTCGTTATAACTAAAAAGCTGGAGGCAGATAAGCAGAAACACTCTTTACAAAATGTTTTCTTATGAAAAGATTACAACCTCACTCCAATTCTAAGACCCAATACATTATTACAACGGGCAATCACCCACCAACTTGCAGGCAAGCTCCCTCTGAAAAGATTCCTTCAATGTCCATTTGAAGGTCGAAATACTGCGTAGCCATTGACCCCGCATGCCATATTTGAATACTCTGGATTAAAATATGGGGAACTATCACCATCAGCATTTCTCATGCCCATCAAGGAAATATCAGAGCCAGCCATCTGCCACTGGTTTGAAATCAACCCATCAATATGCCCATTTGCATAAGGCATTGAGCTAGCTTGTGGAATATATTCCCTAGGCGTGTCAAAATGGGTTCCAGAAGGGCTATAGCTTCGCTGAAATCCACCATCATGGTAACTCCTCGTGCGCTCGAACCTGCAAGGGCTATTGGTTGAGGAACCCAAATCACCTGATACACCCAAGTCATTTGGAAAAGAGAACTGCCTGTTCAATAGGTGTGGCCCATTGCTACGGAAGACTCTGCTTGCCTCGGCTGCCTTCCCTACAGCATGTTCCTCATCAAGCAAATCATTGATGATATCAAGATGTGGGAACTCATCTGTCAGCCCACTTTGGGTCTGACGCCCAGATGTGCAGGCTGCGAACTCACTGGAGGAGTGCTCCTGTGATCCACTGCGTACAGGATTGTACAAGTCAATGTTTTGTATGCCATTTATCAGGGAAGAAGGGTCACCACTCATGCTTCTACTTGCATCTCTTTGAGAGCTCTCCATCCATTGGCATCCATCTTGTAAGACATCTCGAGTTACCATACCAAAAGGAAAGCCAGATTGGTGAGTGTTTGGGTCTACCCTATCAGAGTTCAATGGTGGTAAAAACATCGGTGCAGATACCAATGTAGATGGCTGCACGTGCACTGGTGATAGGTTCACTCCTGTACTTGGAGAGCTGGTATGGGTGAAACCAGATGAACTGGAACCAACAGCATTACCAATAATGGCATTGCGATAGGACTGCGGAACATAACTATGAGTCGCTGGTGAAGGGTCAGGACCCAGCCGGCCAGCTGCACTAACAGAACGAGAAAGTAAAGGAGTTGTGTGGACTACAGAAATGGGAGCAGCAGTTGGCCTGGGACCAGGCACCAGAGGAGCACTGGAGGGCCTTGACATGGCAGGGACTTGTTTTAGAGTTGGTTTGTCAGACTGTTTTGCAATTGGCACATTCTGGATCTCAGTTTTGGGAATACCAGCATTTTGGGGGGAGGTAGCTGAAGTTGCAGTTTTATCAGCCTGCTGTGAGCAATTTGAAGATGCTTTCTTAACTTGACTGAGATCCATGGTAGCCGAACTCTTGCTTTCTGACTTCAATTGAACAGTGGATGGTACATTTTTAGGAGGACTTGTCGGAGGGCTTCTGGGAGAAGATGGTACAGCTGCTGTCTTTTCTTTAGGTCTTTCTACCTCAACCAGGTCTTTGTTACTCATCTGCTTTTGCATTGAAACAACTGCGTCTTCCTATTTCATAGATAAGAAATGTCCATCAACACATACTCAAGTAGAACAGATTAAATGTATTCACAGAAATAAAGCAGCATTCAGAAACAGAAAGCCAAAAGATTTAAGGGATTCAACCCAAATTGAAAAGAACACAAAGGCATAAAATCGCATGGTGGCCAAGCCTTCAAGAATTGCCTTTGAACTTGTTGGAATAAAAAGCGGTAAAGGGAAAGGAAGAAAGAACAGTCTCATAGCAAAGACAGCAAAAAACTCCTTTGCATTGATTAATTCCTAAAATATTCTATGAACCTAGTAGAAGAAAAATTCATCTTCCCCAAATGAAGAAGAGACAAGCCAGGATTAAACAAAAAACAATAAAAGAAAAATAATAAGATGAAAATGGAAGAAAAAAATCTAAAAACACTTGCACTGTAGGAACCACGGTGCTAAATAAGACAACAGAGAAGGGTCACCACGATGCTAAATAAGACAACAGAGAAGACCCTTCATACCCAAGAAGCTGATGCAACGAAAACATGTAGCCAACCATGCTATTAGGTGTCAAAAAGGAGAAGGCGTCAAGAAGGAGAAAACTACAAAAGATAATTAGCCTGCCAAAATTGGATTTGAAAATTTGATGCTTGTGATACAGTTCTATATTGTTTGATGGTTTAAACATTATTGAAAGAGTAGAAATTTGAGATCAAGGCAAAAGATTAGCAACTTCACCTTTCCTTTCTTAATTACATGTTGTTCAAGCTTCACCATCCTGTCCCGCAAATCATGAACAACGGCCTCAAGCTCGCAATCAGCAGCCTTGCTACTTCTTGTGACATTGCTATGATCACCAGTATCTAATGCAGGCTCAGGAGGCTGATTATCCATTTCAGCTGTCCAACTCGCATCATGTGCCATCTTACCTCGCTGATTCTTCCCTCTGCAGATATGAAATGCAAAATGAATGCCACATAATCAAGTCCTCCAGTGGAAAAAGCACACGAAGGCCACATGTTTACCACATACCTGCTAGGCAATTTTTCAAATTGATTGTTCAGGTACGAGTTTCCCTTATATGGGTCATTCATTACTACTGAAGGGACTGAATCATTAGAGCATGTTGAGGAACTATCATCCATTGCATATGTGCTCCTTTTATCACCTGTCCCGTTTGGCACAGATGACAAGCCACTAACTCCACCGCTACTGACTTCGGTGGGAGGATGAACTTCTGAGGTGTCAGTATCCCAATTGACCGCGCTTGCATCTCTGTCTTCTGAATCAGGCTGAAGCACTTCAGCAACACCATCCACTGAATCAGACACATCAGAGACATCTTCCAGAACCTCAGGCTTTTCCATCACAGGCCGCACCTCCTCGACAGCAAACTCCTTATTCTCATTACTAAGATTTGACTCTTGGTACTTGTCTACCACAGCAACACCAGACCTATCCTCTCTACCTTTATCCTTCCCTTTGCGATTGTTCCGTTTTTGTTTAGCCTGTATTTACAAGCATCAGAATTCAAACAAATTAAACCTTGAAAAGGGTGGATTGGGGTTTTCTTGATTGTGTGTGTGTGTGGGGGGGGGGGAGGTGGCAGTGGCAGTGGCGAAGTTTTTTTCCCAAAAAAGAAAATCTAGCCATCCATCATGCATTTTAGATAAATTTGCATAGTGATTATGGCCCTCAAAAAATCCAAGCAACACTGGAAGGAATTCCGAAGGGCTTCAACAAGTGAATTTTCTAAATCAAAGTTTCAGAATCCTAATCATATGGTGACACTGTAATCTGACACCACCTGAATTCAATAGGGGAGTTCAGACTACGTTTTACTCAATTCTTATTAAGAAAGAAAAATAAGCCACCTGTTTTTTCTTTAATTTCTTTTCCTTTTCAGTTGCTCCACGTTTAGCCTTCTGCTCACTTTCTGCAAGCCATGCTGCCTCTTCTTCACGAATTAGCTCTTCTTGCCTCTTCAAAGCAACAGCTTCCTGGTAGGAAACTTCAATTTTATGGCTACACGTGAAGCAGACAAAAAATCAGGGCATGCATGGATAACAATAAGGAATACTTGTCATGCCACAAAGAATCAGAAAATTGCTATGCCAAGATAAGCAGTGCTCGTTATGCCAATAAATTGTTATTAGTGTTTACTAATTGGCATAGAAATTCATCATTCATTAATATTTGCAATGTATTTACTGCTTCAGTATTGAGCACATGAAAAAATAGCATAATGGAAGAATGGGCTCCAAATAAAAGTAAAATGACAACAAAAGTATTAAGTTATTGGCAAAAATGCTTGGACTTCCATTAGATTAAATTCCAGAAGGTTATCCTCATAGAAAAAAGGACTTCCAAATCAGTGGATTACTCCAAAAAAATTGATTTAGGCAAAAGAAAAGGTGCATGTGGCTGAAATATGGTTCCAGTTAAGCCTGAAATGGAAGAGTCCTAGCAGCATGAAGAAACTAATAACAGCAAAAAAGAAAAATTAAGTATTAGTGTATTACTTGAAAATATGAGCGAGAACAAATATTTCCACCGTCCTACGACCCAATTCTGTTAGACGCCTTTCATCACGCTCAATTGAATCCTTGTTGAAGTCCTCTCCAGAACTTCCATCCTGGGTATAAATGCAAAAAGTTTTCAAGACATCAGAAGCTTAATAAGTCACAGTCATGAAGCATGCAGAATAATCAAGATATTGACAACCATCAAGCAAGGAAAAACAGCCAGCATTTTCATGCTCTTCAGGATGTAATCCAGTGTACAGAATAAAATCTATAATTATGTGATATCACCATCACTCCTATTACCATCAACATACAGCCACTTCCATCATTGTCCCCACCCTAATGCTGTCACCAACACTCTGAAACAATCATATGTAGCAGCCATTGTATACCTAAAATGTTCTGTTCTTATTATGTACATGTGCTATTCCAGTAAACAAACTGTTTCTAGAGAGATGCATGCTAATTAATGGAAGAAAATTGTTTGCATAGCAAGTAAAATTAGCAACTGCATACGATTTTCTAACTTGTGGTTGAAGCTTAAGCCCAATAAGTTAAACCCAATGCCACCAACAAAGTTTCTCTAGTATACCAAACACATGGGACAATTTGTGAAATCGCAAGATCCAAAATTCAAATATTCTAGTGCTCCAAAAAGAGACCTTAGGAGTAATGACAATACAAACCATCAATGATTTAAAACAAACTACTAAAATGATTCAACTGCTTAAAATTCCCACAGTAATTTTTCATATTGACTGCCTATATGCATAGCTGAATTCAGAAAAGATTCAAACATTAAAAAATGGTATCCAGCAACCCAACCCACCTTTGTACGATTCTGAGGGCCCTTCTCATCTTTTGGAGGCAATGGTTCCATGGCAGCCCTCTCAAGTAGTAGCAGCACATCATCCACCAACACAAACATATCTTTTTCAACACAAACAATTGGAGCTGGCATTTCTTCAGCATCCAATAATTTTGCCCTTCCCTTCTTGCTCTTAGTTTGGCCTTCAAGAGCCTTCAATCCACTATACAAGGAATCCATTACCAATGTAGATGTGACTTCCTTCTCGATAAAGAAATGCTTTACAATTACTTTCAGAATTACATCTGTTTTCTCCCTGGACAAGTGGCGCCGGGCATTTTGATCCATTCCCAACCAAAAAGCACAAAAGCTGCAACAGTTGCAAACATTATCATCACAAAACTATACTGACCAGAAACACAAGTAAAATAAGCTATAATTGCCACCAAAAAATGCTATCACAAAAAGAAAACTGTTAATAAAGGCATAAATTAATGATATTATGCAGGCTCGTAGGACTACCAAAACAACACACTTTTCATAACGCAGCACGTTGAGAAGTTAAAACTACTGACAACCATTCTATTCTAATGTGTAAAGTAACGATCATTTTAAAAGATTGAGATACAATACCTTGACCACCTATTTTTGTCCTCTGATAACTTCCCAAGTTTTCCCCGTCTCTCTTCCACAAAACGCCGACAAATCTGCTCTACATTTGTCAAATACACTCTAACAAGTTCTCTCCTATACTGGCAATCGAGGCAACGAAAAGGCCGATCTGCTTTCTCCCTACACATGAAAAGCAGTCTCGCAATGAGTCTGGTTAACAATGAAAAACACCTAGAGCATTTTCTTGCAGAAAAATTAATACAACAGTTCCACGCAATCAACAGATGAACAGTACAACAGACATACTCAAGTCACGACTCTTAATGCCAGAACTTCAAATTGGTAAATACAGCCTCCATATCAAAGTTCATTTACAAAGGACCCCGACCATAAACTCAATGTGATAGCCTCATGAGGCTTGACATGACATTATTGCAACAATGATAATACCATAAAATGAGTTCTTTTTTTTATTCAGTGAAACTCACTCCTTTAGAACAAAAGTTATGTTGACAACTTTTTACAATTTGCCCGTTTTCACATAGGAATATCTCATTTACATAACCCATGGACCAACATTGACGAGAATGCAATTATAATTCATTATAGGAAACATGGTATGCTCAGCTCACTTTAAAATTGAAACACTAAAGATAATCATATCGAATTGCCAAAAAGTACACGTAGACACATAGATGGACCAACTGAAATGCCAGATAATTAACTGTCCACTTTCCAGCTCATGTAAAATAATATTTTTGGGATGCGGTGATAAAAATATATACTTTGGCTCAGTTAACATAATTTATAACAAAAAGATAACTAAAAACTTAAAGATCCAACAAGAATAACTTCATTATCGAGACGACTTCAGATTTGATCAGAAATTTATATAAATGAGCCATGACTACCCTTAAAACATCTAAATTTAGATTCTGACGCAACTTCTCAAAAACATTAAACTTGGAATGGACAAGCAAGAAAAGCATGCAAGACAATTATACTGCCATCACAAAATACTTTACAAATAGCGGACCATAGGAAAGTAATAGAATAACATGAGCAGCATGATGGTGCAAAATGTAGCACAATCACTGATAGACATCAAACATATATAAACCAGTAACTTATCAGAAACCTGATGACTTGCACTTGAGCCTTTATAATAAGAGTGTCAGTTGCATCTAAAAACCCATCTGACACTTTTGATAACTCCATAAATTTCTTCCATCCCCAGTCATGTTCTTTCTTCCAAAACCGATGTAATGTATCTGCAAATTTTAATTTTGGTTAATGGTACATCAACAGTTCCATTACTGACTTCAGACAATATTTAATCAACTGACCAGAATATTTAGATTTTTTTGGATCTTTATTCACCACAGCAATTGTAAACTGTGCAAAATGACTCCAACCTGGTTCACAGATAAATAAAATTACACTGTTACAGGCACAGAAAAAAAACAAAGAGCAGTGACTATAACTGCAATTTCAAGTCAGTAGCACCAAACCTGGAAGAAGTTTGTCATGGTTGGCAACACAGAGAAATAGTGAAAGATGATTGCAGACATCACAACCTTGGGGATATATTAAAATGTACCTGTCACCAGAAGCAAAAGAATTAAATCAATAATAGCATTGAAAGTTGCACTGATTTTCTGCGGGTCAGTAGCATCAATGCAACAAACTTGAGAAAACCTATATAATTGAGATGTCAACATAATCATCAAAATTCATGCTCAAAAATGTGAAAGTTGGCCTCTTTAAAATGAAAAGGGTGGATTATAAATCAGCCAATATGATACATTTTACTATTTTTTTTTAATTAAAGTGCATGATGATTTATTCTACTTGTTCTTTATGAGAAGAACATCCATCAGTGAGATTCAAGATATTACCAATTGGCTACACCAAACATATGGAAAACCAATAAACTCGTTTCATTCGCTTTATTGCAAAGCTTATAGCAGAAGAGTAAGAAAAATATAACATTTATCTCTAGATAATAAGCTTTACCAAACAACTCAGAGAGTGTTTGGGAATGTAGTTGCGGTTGCTTTTTAAAGTGTTTTTTACTCAGAAATGTATCAAAATAATTTTTTTATTTAAAAAAAATTATTTTTGAAATCTGCATATCAAAATGATTTGAAAACACCAAAAAAATATTAATTTGAAGCAAAGAAAAAAATAAAAAAATTCAGCCTAACTTGGTAACACACAGCAGAACACATAAGTCATCTCATGTAAATCTCTCTCTATCATAAGCACAGGTTAAAAAAATATATGCATGAGGGAGTTATATAACAAATTCAATATTAGCTGCAAATAACTAGTGAAGGTTTGTGCATGGAAAAAAGATTCATATGATGCAGTAATACAATTGATTTTAGCAAGGTACATCACATCCCTCATATCATGTTGCATCACATGTTTTGGGCTTGCAAACGTGAGAAATAATGAAGTCTGAGAATTGGGGGGGGGGGGGATTGCAATTGTTTCCTCCTTAATGGAGAACCCTATTTTAATTGAAGAGAGATTAATAAAGAATGAGATCAGCGTGTGATCCCAAAAATCATATATAATGGTTTCATATTCCCATCCAGAGTAAAGAGAAACATTTTTGGTTTGTGAAAAGCACAATTTAAGAAAGCCCAAGCTTCCAAAATGATATTACATATGCAAATATTTTTTTACTCATGGTGGGCGAGTGCATGCAGGTAGGAAACTTAGAAATATACATTTATAGTAGTATAATATGGGTATAAAGTACAAACTAAAAAAGTACATACATTGTTGACAAATTTGTCTGCATGACTTGAATGTACATGTGTGCATGTAATGTATATAGGTAAAAAAAATTTATAGAGGCGAAATTGTGAAAGTAAAACAAAAAAATGGGACAGGGGGCCATATGAAAGAACGATATGCAAAGCTCTTTACCATTTGTAGCCGCCAACTTCAAATGCATTGCTTCGAAGTTCTCTTTTATTAATCTCTGAGAATTTCTCTATCTTCCATGTGTATTTTCCAAATAACTCAGAAGGTTTTGGCCCTATAAAAGAACAAAATCAGTTAGTAAAGAGTTGTCCGCATAACAGCTTGTAGAGAGGGATAAGAAACTAAAGAATCAATCACAAAATCTAAGAGTTAGGAGTGTTCTGCTATGGAAGTGGAAACTAATGTTAGTTAGCTAACATCTATTTAATCAAGTTTTCTTGCAGCTATTTATACTGAATTTTGTCAATTTCACATATACCACTGAGTAAAAAGATATAACAAACCAATCTGATCCGTGATGCACTGCTACCATATCCATTTGCGATCACATAATTAACAAAAGAAACTTTACTGTTGCACTTCTTTCCACAAAGTGCGTGGGAAATTGATTGCTAAATGAAAAACTCAAAATCCAGCAGTAAGTAAAAAAAAATTCATTTTAGTTAGTGAATGTGCCTCTCTCGGAACCATTCTTGACATGGAGAGCGGGGGAGAGCGGGAGAGAAGGGACTTCATGATTGAGGTTTGGATAAGAGAGATTCTTCACAAAATTCATTTTATCTTGTACTGAGATATACTAGAACATTGGGCTAATCTTCAAGCATCTTGGTGTCAAGCTACTTTTTGCAGAACCTCCATGCAATAAGTCCAGTGCAATATTGTTCAACCACCAAATGAAGGAGAATAGAACCAGTTCATTTTTCCCTTAATACTTCCAACAGCTTTTACACTCTAGCTTCCAACATTGAATTTCGAAGAGCCTTAGTGTGCTCACTGGCAAAAAGAATACACACACTAAAACCAAAAAACAAAGGAGAACCAGAACGAAAATACAAATACAATAAATTATATGGAGAACCAGCACATACCTCCATCATCGTCATCGTCAGTGTCCCAATAAGGTGGCGAAGTTGATGGGGTTCCGTTTTCCACCTGCTCAGAGGACCGCCATTCCGCCAGCAATTCACCTGACTGGCAACGCTGCCCAATTGAAATGCCCTCCGTGGACCTTCCAACTCCAGCTTCCTCACCCACAATCCCAGCCATTTCCCACTCCAAAACTCCTTCCCCCACGATCCTTCAACTTCCCTCACTACATAACAAATAAAATCAATAAGAAAAAACAGGAATACAGCCCCCAAGCATACAATTTTTATGCCAGCACATAACAAGAACATTAAACAAATCAATTCAGTTCACATAACTATAAGCATTAAAAGAACTACTCATTACTCGATACCTACAAAACCAGAAACTATTTATATACAAAAAATAAATCTTTGATATCACGAGTAGAAATTTCAAAAAAAAAAATATTAAGGTTGCTGACAAGTCTAAGAAACAGAAAACACCATGGATTTTGAATACTGAATTCAGCATCAATTGCGGCCTCATAAAACACAAACCTCCACTCTATCATTATCTCTAAGAGATTGTTTCGCTAAGTTGTATTTATTTTTTAATTTCCACACAAAGATAAACAGCAAGAAAAACATTCATAGCACCTAAGTCTTTGTTTGTTTGAATTCAATCCCTTAATTTTACTGGAAATCAAAAACCCGTCATCAAGAAATTACAATCAGCAATAAACCCTTATCTCTTTTAATAATAAAAAACCAATTGACTGAAGCTCAATAATAATCGAAAAGATTATAAAAAATAAAAATAAAAACCCAGACACATAAAACTATTTGTGAAAACCCAATTGCATGAAACACACGCAAATTAAGATAGTTTAGAATCTGAGACCAGAAAACAAAGATCCAATACAAGATTCCCCAATAAAACCCGATCAAAAAATAAGCTGATAAAGGGGATTAAATATAGAGAATTAGAAACCTAGATCGATGTGGATACAAACCTGAGCTTTTACAATTGGGGTTATGGGAAAAGCTATACGAGATTCTAGAGAGAGAGATAGAAAGAGAAAGAGACGTTCAAAGGAGCAGCAAGAGAACGAAGGAAGAAACCAAAGGCGGAGGCCGAGAAAGAAAATTTGTAATTTCTTTGTTTTTTTTTTTTTTTCCCCAATGTTACTTGTACTCCCACTATTATTAATTTTTGTTTTTTATTTTTTTTAAAACTAATTTATTTATTTACATTTGGGTAGACTGTATACCGTAGCATGAGCTGTGAGGTCTTGAAAAAATAAATTAAAAATGAGTGGTCAAATTGGATAAATATAGAAAAGAAAATGAAATAATGAAGAAGAGAGCGTTTGTGCGTGAAAGAGGCGGTGGATTAACGTGGGAGAGCACAGCAAGACATGGTGGCTCTTCCTTTTTGGTTTTGCATGCCTCTTTTTTTCTTTTTCTTTTTTTTTATGTGCCTAAAGTTTTTTTTTTATTTGAAAGAGTGATAAAATAAAATTAAAATTCTACGATTGGCTATACAAGTTGTGGAGTCCACTCTCACTAGGAGAGTAGAATTTTTTTATTATTATTATTGTTTATTTCGTTCTTTGCACCTGGGAGTGTTTTCTTGTTTAGGGTTTGTGTCGTGGTGGTCGTGATGGGCGGTGGACTGTAGGAGGCTGTGGAGAAAGGGATGGTTTGGGCTTTGGGCTAGCATAACTTTTAGTATTCATGGGCTGAACTTGGAACGTTGGGTTTGATATTTTAAATGGCCATTGGAGTTTGGGCTTAACCCATTTGTAACTTTGTATGGAAGATCTGTTTTTACCCTTCTCTCTTAAATATCTCACATCTCACGCCTGATATATATATATATATCAGGGTGGGTATGTATGTATGTGTGTGTGTATATATATATATGTATGTATGTATGTATAAGACCCATCATTCTTCTTTGGGTGAGGTACATGCGCAGCACTGGCAGCATCGCCACCAAGCCAATGCCCACTAGCATCACAAAATATCTCCTTTAGCTGCCAGTTCCAGATTACCTCGACTTGACACTTCTCGTATCTGTATTGATATGAATCCAGGGTTTTTTTTTTTTTTATAAGTTTGAATGGTATTAAAAATATATATTAAAAAATAAAAAGTATTATTTTAATATATTTTTAAATAAAAATATTTTAAAAAATGAAGAATGCAAAAAAAATCATAACGGCAAGGATATTTTTTTAGTTGATTTTTTTTTTGGTGTGTGAATAAAATTAGATATATGTGATCTGTCAATCTTATCTTAATTTTTTTTTTACTAAAATAAAATAAACCGAGGAAGGGAGCTCCTTGCCGCCCAGTTACCTTTCAAAAATTTTGATATAGCGGCAAACCAAGTAATTTAACGACAGAAGCAAGTCCTTTTCCATTTTCAAATTAATTTCAACACTCTGAATCCTGTTCCTGCTCCACTTCAAAACGACGTTTCAAGCATCCGAATCGTTTCTCTCTACCAATGGAACCCCCAATACTGAAATTGACAATGGTGCGAGGTCCTAGAGAAGGCGAAACCCTAGAATTCAGACCCGGATCCACTGTCCGAATCGGCCGGGTTGTACGCGGCAACAACGTCCCTATCAAAGACGCCGGAATCTCCTCAAAGCACCTCGCAATCGTATCCGAATCAGGAAAATGGAGTCTCCAAGACCTTGATTCCTCCAATGGCACCACTCTCAACTCCACTACTCTCTCCCCCTACAAATCCTTCGATCTCCGCCACGGCGACACCATCAAACTCGGGGAGTTAACTTCGATCCTCGTCCAATTCAACGTTCACGAGGAAAGCTCGCAGTTGAGACGCAATCCGAGGAGACGGGCTAAAGAATCCAGTAAAGTAGGATCTGTCGCAGCGAATCGGAGCCGCAGGGGAAATGAAGAGGAGAGGGAGAATGCTGAAAATTTGGAGGAAGAGAATGTTGAGAAATTGGAGGTAAAAAGTGAGGTGATAGTTCCAGAGAGTAGGGGAAGAGGGAGACCGAGGAGTGCTAAGGCTTTGGAGAAGCAATTGGATAGTGTGGTTCCTGCTGAGGCAAAGAGAGTGAATTTGAGGAGCACTAGAAGTAGAAAGAACGAGGATTGTGTTGTTTTGGAGAATTTGGGAGTCGATTGTGGTGAATTGGGTAAAAAAGTGCGTGGAGGTAGGGGGAGGAAAAAGAATTTACAGGTATTGCCAGCGGAGAATGTTCAATGTGATGTTGTGGATGTTAAGGATAATGTTGATTTAGCGATGAATGCACAAGAAGAGGTGAAAGAGGTTGCCAATGAGAAGAAAGTTGAGACCGTGGGAGATGTCCACGAGGAGATCACGGAAAAGGAAACGAGTTTTGGAGAAAAGTGTAATGACACAGCCAAGGGGAATGATACTAAGGACGGTGATGTTAGTGAGGCACAAGTTAGTGCCAATGAGAATTTGGAGAAGGGGAAGGAATTACCGGATTTGGAGAAGATGACACTGGAGGAGTGGTTTAATTCTATGGAGGTGGATTTGCCAAAGCAGATATTAGAGGTCACGGAGGAGATGGTTGAAGGGATGAGAAGGAAGGCAGAGCGAGTTCGGGAGTATATGATAGAGCAGAAGAAAAAACAGGGTGTAGGGACTGTGGGCTAGAGAAGGTAGCCAGTTTTAATTTCTCTCCCTCTTTTTTTTCCCCATCTTTTGTTATGATTGAGATATGCATATCATATGTTTCAATTCCTATCAATATGGTGGAGCTTTGTGTGCATGCCTCTATAATGTACATGTTCTTCTTCTGAAAACTATGGTAATTTTTATGGCGAGTTATTCCTGCTTAGAGGAGCTAACAGTGTTTTAACGAGAGCCTACTGTTTGCAGGGCAAGCAGTCGAAGAAGTGAGTGGATTTTTCTTTCAGCTTAGTGTAGGGGGAACCATGTTCCTTAAGATGTGTATTAAATTGGTCTTTTAGAGTAGTTCTTAGCATATAGTTGTGTGTTTATGCTATGCTGGATAATTTGGGATCTTAGCGAGGTTCGTAAGCCTAAGGACTTTATAATTGGCTATAATGGAGCACTAACCTGCCAGAAAACTTAGAGGCTGTTAGCATGTTTAGATGCTTTCTACTGCTCTGCTTAAAGTTTATCAAACTGTCATGTTTCCATCCCTAATAAACTAGACAGGGTTTTGAATGGTTTCATTGAATTTGATGAAAGAGTTGCAATGTGACGGGATCATTTATCAACGACCTTATATTTGATGTTGATTGTACTCTAGCAAGACAAGGAGTTCACAAAGAAGCTATGTCTGAACATATAGACCACGACACTGCAATAGAATTGTTGTAGAAACATAGCAGATGCTGCTAAAAATTGAAATTGTTTTGAAACTGAGATCGAGCAAATTTTTGTAACCAAGATTATGATTCAAAAGAACTTGCTGTTTTCTTCAAGTTGTAATTGGTGGATAGAGCTGCGGACTTCTAGGTTCTGATGTGACTTATATTAGCAGTTCTGGATGTTTGAGATGGGATATTGATTTGTGCTGGTTCTGAGGTATTGGGGGCTTGGAATGCTGGCAAGCTTCTGATGGCTTTTCCAAATGCGGTTTCTATTTCATCAGCATAGTGTTCCTGATCAGCAGGATTTCCAGCTCTTATTTACCAACATTCCCATGTCACACGTGGTATTTATGTGTTTCTTCTTGTTTCTGCTTGCTGATTGCACTAATTCTTCGAATGATACTGGGCCTTTGTGCCTCTGGGAAACAAGGATGAATTTACTTGATGGCTGTTTTTCGTAATGATTAGATACATAAATGTGTTCATCTCCATCAAATTCTCCATGTTATATGAAAATAAATAGTGACATATACATATTGGTAACAATTAGATACTTGGGTCTGTATTAGAGGCGTGCTGTTAGCAATAGATGATAACAATGTAATGCTTACTGAAGTATCATCAGATTTGCGCAAGTGAACTAGTATGTAGAACACAGAATGACAATCCTCTTTGCTTACTGTTTATGCTCTTTTCCACCTGGTCATGATTATATATATCTAGTGGCATATTTTCTATTAGCAATTGGGTTTCTTATGTGATTGCGCTGAATGCTAGCTCCCCTAGCTGTTCTTTAGCACTTCTACTCACGGTATTCACTATAGGGAAAGATTGTCAAGATTGCATAGTTACTCAAATTTCCAAGTTGACCAATTGACTTAAAACAAAATAAATCTTCACAACACCTGGTCATTATTATCCCATGGCAGCTTTGGAGTGACAATATTGACGTTATAAGTGAATCTACTAGTCATTTGTTCAACTTACTTCCCACTTCTGATTTTGCTGGGGTATAACAAAAATTGTGTTAGTTTCTAGGTTTCATTTTGTAATGTTATTTGTTTTTCTATGGGTATATAACTGGTGGACAAAGTGAGGTGTGTTCACGGTTCTAGTTAATCTCAGAAAAAGCATGAATTTCCCTCAAATGTTAGCTCATGGACAATTTCATCTTTTTTTGAAATGCGTTCAATCTGTCTTTTTTATATCTAACAGCTTGAGGCTTTCCTTTCAGATTATCCAATGTTTATGTGGAGATGAGTTTAAGGATGCAATGCTGAATTTTGGAGTTTGAGCTCCTTCTGAACCGTCTCATTAGATGCAATTTGGTGTTGTGGAATGGAACTGCATAGAGCAGAGGATGCAGCTAAGTATATTGAGTTAGCTGTGCTTTGAGGATAACCTCATGGTGGTATTTTGCAACATGTTATTACCACTATTAACTCACTCTACATCTTGGAGAAATGCCCTAGCTTTTCTGATAGTATTTTTACTAAGCAGTAACATGCCATCTCCTTTTGATCTCTGCCCTCATGTAGCAGCATCCTTCGAACTGATGTGAAAATCAAGTTGATGCTAGAATTAGGTTTTACCTGCTTCTATTGTTAGTTGGGTTTATTTGATTGGATTTGGTATCACATTGATGGTAGTGGGTGCAGTTCATGCCCTTGTGCTGCAGCACTAATAGAGCGACTTGCCCGGTTTGTAGTGTTATGTAAAGACTCAAGATTGCAATCAAGGATTGTCTTATCTTGCTGATTTATGTGCCGGCATGTAAATTGGTGAGCTAGTGTTCATCTTAGTTTATGTGTTTCCTATTAGCAGACAGTTCGATGTTCAGGAAGCTAATGGTAATTGCTAGTTTTTTCC